ACCCATCTCTCTAGCATGCACCTAACCTTGTGGACAACAATCCCTGATGCACCAAAGTGTTTAATTTAATTAGAATAAATTACTGTAACCTTCTTTTAGGACTTGTTTATGCCACTCCTCTCCCTGCAGTTAGGTGACCTTATATTTCAAAGCCTCTTTAAAAGAATGGTTGCTTTATTGTTCTTTTCACAGATTGCATTTAAAGAGGTCTATTTAAACTTGGGCTTTGAGTGTGTGGAAGAAAGTTATGTAATCAATCATATCTGTGTGGATTTCAATCAGACGTTCGTTGTACTATAATCTGGCCTTTTGGCACATAGACTGGTTAGTTTCCTTATTCTAAAAAAATAACCATAAAATTGATAGTTGAATAGATTCATCACTGATTTTGCCAAGGTACCCAATAGATTGCTTTCACTAGTTAGAATTGTATTTTCCTTTAAATGTGTGTTTTGTAAGAAGAAAAACCACTTGTCCCAATTGCATTTCTTACTTGTAGTGTGGTTTAATTTCGAAATATTGGTCATTGTACTATAATAGTATGTGATATCCAAAATTTGAGAAATTGAGACCACTGAGTGTTTGTGGGAAAAGAAAATGAGAGAAAACGAGAAATCCAAGAACAATGCCCATGACTTTGCCATTTTGTTGATGGGATTAATGATAGACTTCTTTCAAGTTGATTTATGAGATTTTTTTTATTGGTCACATCAATTTATGAAATTGGAAATTTGAAAAAATGAAAATGATTTTCAGTGGAATTATGGAAAAAGGGGAAAGGAATTGGAGGAGCAGAAAAAGAAAAGTGGAAGAGGGAATTGATTTTGTATGGTGTCACTTAAGATAGAGTGTTGTAAAATAATTGTGTTTTTCGGTAATTAATCTACATGTAATTGGTTGGGTTAACAGTTTCCAAAGCTCTATACCTGGTCCTTTTACTAATTGATACTTAACCAATTTTCCTTTGGTTTGGGTAAAGTACATAAACAATCAGTTAAAATTAGCTGTGGGTTGTGGGTATACCCGACCCAAATGCTTCCCCCTAGGAGCAGGAATTTGTTAACAGCATCTTGTGTTTCTCTTTATTCAGTTGTCCTTGAGTTCATCTTCAAATCTCTTTCTCTAAACTTGTGAGCCGTAAGCTGTAAATTTGATGCTTAGGTGTTTCATGCCAGTGGTTATTTGCACCTTGAATAAAATCTTATGCATAAAATATAGCTTATAATACTTATTAGTGATATTAGAATTCATGTCTAAACTCTTAAAAACATATCAAATCATGTGAGTATTTACATAGTGTCGTGCAATTTATCTTGTTAATAATTGGAATTTGTTGGAGGTAAATATGAAGGCAAACCACTGCAGCCAGAAAATTAACAATTGTATCATTAGTTTACCTGTGCATTCTTGATTTATTTATTGAATAAGAAAGAACTTTGCTTTTATGTAGACTCATGAAAGATAGACTAGTAAAGCTTTTGGGAAGACAGAAAATGTAGAAATTTATCCATAGAGCCTTGAGTGTTTCTGTTATTGTTTATACTGGAAGGAGGATGCTCACACATTTTTGTGTATTTATGTCAAGAATACCTTTTTGCCTTTTCTAGATGGTAATTTATTTGATCTTGTGATCTGGCCTTGTAAATAAGCATTGAATCTGCACTTGAAGGGTGAACATGTGTCCTAGATTGTTAAGATAATGATTGAACTTATAGAACTGGCTGGCCCTTTCTATGACTGGTTTTGATTTAAATCTATGGGAGATGACTTATGGACCATATCAGATTTCTAATACTACTTACGCAAAGCAGTTCGTACTCATTTTACTGATCTATTATAAAAAATTATCTTTGCATCTATAAAATAGGTTTAATGATCTCTGAGAATTTTATTTATAGCAATGCTTACCTGATGTTTTATCCAACTATACAAGCAGAGATATTAAGTAGGCATGGCTAAGTCGTTTTTTTACTTGAATTTCTTGCTTCTTACTGAATAAGGTTCAGGCCAGGGCAACTGCAGTTTTAGTAATGCTGTGGCTGGTCCAATCATTGGTGGTCCATTCACTTTAATTAATACAGAAGATGAGATCATCACAGAAAAGAATTTTCTAGGGAACTGGGTTCTCCTTTACTTTGGCTATACATCATCACCTGATGTTGGACCCGAGCAGGTCAATTTGATGGCAAAGGCTATAGATATATTAGGTACAACCCTTAACCAGCTTTTCATGTTACATTAAATTACTTTCTGGTAATATAACTGACACTTTATGTTTTATTGGATTAAGAATCAAAAGAGAATCTTAAGATTTTACCTGTATGTGTCACAATTGACCCTCATCGTGACACACCTGTGCAACTCCGCTCTTACCTTAAAGGTGAGGGTCCCCTATTTTTTGATAAAATGTTGTTTCTATTTAAACTATAAACTCTGGCAAAAATAATTACCATTTTTCTTACCAATGCAGAGTTTGACTCAAGAATAGTGGGATTGACTGGTCCTGACAATGCTGTAAGGCAAATGGCACAAGAATATCGTGTTTTCTTCAAGAAGGTTGAGGAGGAAGGAGGAGATTATCTTGTTGAGTCTTCCCACAACATGTAAGTTCAAGGCGGCTGCCTTTCCTTTCTGAACCAACCTTCCCCTACTTACAAACAAGCAGTGGGGACTTAATGTAGCCTCTGTTAAAATTGTCAGGTATCTGATGAACCCGAAAATGGAGGTTGTAAGATGCTTTGGAATTGAGTACTCTGCAGAAGAACTGTCAAAGGATATATCAAAAGAAATGAAGAAAATTCCAAGTTAATACCCAGAAGCTCTGGTACGTTTGGGTTGACACCTTAAACTCGGAGCCTCAAACTTCATTCACATTTAGATGGTTAAACAATCCAAACAAAGTAATCATTCCTTTTCTCCAAAATGTTTTTTTTTTTTTCTCTTTTTTTTTTTTTTAAATTTTTATTTCCGTGAAAATTAGGGCAAAGCATCAAATGTGACCTAATGAATGAGATGAAGGTCATTTAACATGAGAGGATTAACTGAATTTTGAATTTTGAAGTTTGAACTCTTACATTGATCATTGAGGTAATGGTACAGTTGAATGCAAAGTGTGTCTTCGATTTATACTGAACTGCTATTTTTTAAGAAAATTGAAATGGATTAACATCTAATATTTGAACCGGTTTAGTTCTGTTGAATTTTAGTTTTGTTTTCTACCTTTTGTTCTGTTTTGTTTATCTTGAAAATTTTTGTCCAATGTTTTTGGAAAAACCGGCTTCCTTTATCTCTCTGTTCCTTACCCTTATGTATTCCCTGCTTCAAAATAGTTGAATAAAAAATGATAATTATTTTGAAACGAATGGAAGTAACGCAAGGGGATCTCACAAGATGAGTAGGGGCTGCAGTTTTGAAGTTTGAAGTGGCAAACCTGAGGGTGTGGTTATGGCCACGTAATAATGTTTTAAGGCGGCACAAATCATTCTAGGTTTATATGGTTTAGTTGATATTTTATTTATGAACGGGTTATAATGCTTAAAAACATAAGTGTATAAATTGATTTTAACTTATTGAGTAATAAAATTAATTATTTTTAATAATCAAATTAAATAGAATTTGTGTTTTTATAGATAATTTTAACAAGTTTGTGTGATATTAACCAAAGAAGTAAATACTGTACCATACCGATCGGTATAACAGGTACATATCAGTTTTTAAAGTAGACCGAAACGTAGTAAGAATAAATTTTGTTTCGGTCAAAATTCGATGATTTTGGTTAAATTTCGATGTATCGGTCGAAATTTCAGCATATCAATCGATACAATATGCAAGAATTAAAAAAAAAAAAAGATTTTCTAGCCAAAACGAGTCGTTTTGGCCAGCATTGCAATTTCAATCGCGCAAATCCTCCTTTGTTCTTGCATTTAGCTGTCTTAACTTGTCGATCTTTCATTTTTTGGTACAGTTGCCTGCTGGAATTCAAATCAATTCAAATTTAAAAAAAAGTAAATTTTATTTTTAGTCTTCAACTTTAATATTATATATAATTTTCATCATTTAATTTTTTTATATACTTTTTAGTCCATTCTTCATATTTTTTTTAGTCCTTCTATTAATTACTCTTTTAAGTTTTTTTAAATACACATATTTTTAATCTCTTAATTTAAAATGGATGGACAAAAAATATGTATATATTAAAAGTTAAGGGATTAAAATTTATCATTTTAAACTTATTTTTAATTTATAAGAATATAATAATTTTAAATATTAGTATCTTTTATTTTATTTTAAAATTTGATATTTAA